AAAGAGGGGACTAACGAGCAGATGGGAGCAGGTGTTAACAGAGCAGACAGGAAAGGAGCTAGGGAAAAAGGAGAACACAAGAGGGCAGCAGAGGCCAACAAATAAAAACCTGAAAACTGAAAAATAACCCCCCAAAAATAAACAAAATAACAATTACACACTTAAAATTAGAAAACATGGAGCAAACTAAAACTGAATATGTAAAAGAAAACAAAACAGAACCAAGACTGTGCCAATTAAAGGTTTGCAACGTTTTTTTTTTTTCTATTTTCTCTTGTTCTGTTTCAGTTTTATTTTTTAAGAAAATTAAACCAGGGTTTGTAATGAGGCAATTGTGTATCTGTAACTAAAACAGACACCTCACAGGACTGTGAATTAGCATTTACACAAACAGATCGGGAAAAAGGAAAACTCCATTGTCTTCAGAGGTTTAGCATAAATTGGGTGCTATTATATGTTTAAATAGATATTTATAGTTAAAAGAAAATGTCTTGACCTCCTTCATCATATGTAAACAGATGATTTTTGTCTGTTTTTACCCTCCCAAAAGAAATTTTATCTAGTTTTTTTTTTTTTTTTTTCTACAGAATGATCACTATGACATAAAATACTGGAGACTGGAGAGTTGAAGAAAAACCCCCAGAAGCCTTATTAAAACAGTTCAGTTAGTTTGTTATATTCTGATTGAATTAAAGTCATTAAAAGATATCTTGATATTTCTCATTAACAGCTGGAAGCAGACAATACAGCAATCAGAAAATAAATTTGTTTTATTGTCATTACAGGTAAACATTAATGAAAAAGAAGTTCTCAGGGTCAGGGTCAAATCTATCCTTTAAAGTATGCCTGTGTAAATTATGAGACATCCCGGACATGGCAACCACAACCAGCTTAAATGGAAGACAATCAGACTTTTGCTCAAGTTTTTGGAAGACATTTCAACACCTATTCAGGAGTCTTTATCAATTCGGTTGGCACTGATGTATTTAAACAGAATGGAGGACAAAGGTCCTGCACACATTCCAAGTTAGACGCAAATCAAATTGCCAGCCTTTGTTCTATTGGATTTTTGGAACCCTTTTTGTGCATGGACACTGTAATTGGTCTTTTGAATGATAATGCTAATGTAACTCCTTGGGAATGAGTTCCATGACTGAATTGTAAATGCTTGGAAGCTTAAACTACAATCCTTCCCCTCTGTTCAGTGATGGCCTTTCTCTTTTCACAAATATAGATTTCTTGACTTCTCTTTTAAACCATCTGTCCTCATTGTCTAAAACCTGAACACTTTGTTCTTCAAAGCTGTGTCCCTTGTTGCTGAGGTGCAAGTGTATAGGTTGATCATGCCAGAGCTGCCATCTTCCCTATTCTATGCTATGCATTTATAAAGTTGATCTTAATAAACACAGGGGCATCATGCTTTAATACCAAATGTATTAAAGCGTGGGATGGGAACTGCACTGACAACAACAGGAAAAACTTGCAGCGCAAAGTGAACACAGCTGCAAGGATAATTGGTGTCACACTTATTTACACCTCTTATCTCACTCGCAAAATGATTACATTTATGAGCGATGTAGGCCAACCTGTTCCCAATCTGCGCGACCTCCTTTCCTCCGGAAAGAGGTGCAAGAGCCTGTGCTCTCACACCACCTGACTCAGCAACTGCTTCATACACCAAGCTGTAAGGATGTTAAACTCACACACTTCCCAAACACACTTCCTATAAAAGACGTCTGTACATAAGACCTTGGACTTTAACCCTGAACCCACACAAAAGACAGCTTAAGACTACTAATTACTATTTATTTATCATGCTGCTACAACTTATTACCACTGCTTGCAACATTATCATGCTGCTATTACTTGAACACACTTGAACTACCATGCTACTTGCACACTTGGTACAAAAGGAATACCTCACTGACAGTATGTGCCAATCTTTGCTCTGGGTACACTGGGTTTTTACTCACAGTTACTTTCACTATGTAATATTTGATATCTGTCTTGTCTTGATGACCTAAATGCCAAAAATGTATTGTGTTGATCATCGTGATGAGAGAAACGCAATTTAGATTCATTTGTATGTCCAGTACATGTGACAGAATTGAAACAAAAATAGAAAAATAAAAAAGCAAAAAGACTTTTATGAAGATAGACAAACATGGGTGCCCCCTGCTGGCTTAAATGCATTAAGCAAGTTTTATGTGTCATGATCAACACCTGTTTTTGCTTTGTTGATTGCAAATACTTGTGCTTATCTCAGCTCTGCTTAGGTTCTGTTTTTTGCCTCTTCATTGGCGGGTCGCTTTTGCTACCACCTTGGCTCCCTGTGTTTTCTTAGCTTCTTTTGCTCATTAAAATGTATCCACCCAAAAGGCACCTGCTGATGTCCTGTAGCCACTTTAGTCTTCCTGAACCTCACACAATGAAACTGGCAGTGTCTTCATAATAAATCTCAATAGAAAGGGAGCACATGTTGAATGATGTTTTAACATACCTATGTGATAAACTGACAATAAAGTTTATATTAATAAGTCATGGCAATGTTTTAAATAAGTTATTAAATGTCAAAGAGAATCTAACTATTTGAAAAAAAATTAAGAGCTCACTTTCAAAATTGAGTGTATTTATCATCCAAAAAATTGCAGCTGAGTCAACATTAGGGTTTCGTAACAGTCAGTGTACATCAAGGAACCTTGTTTGGATAATTAATAAAATATTTCAGCATACTGGATAATTAGTCATTTTTAATATCCAATTGGAGCAAAAACACATAAATATTTATATTATATCAGTTGTGCAATTAACTTTCAGGCACTATTTTGTTGATGTTAAATAAGAATCTTTTCACAATATAACTTCAGAAACATTTCACCTTTAATGTTTTAAACATTAGGTAATATGTGATATGAGAATTAAAAAAAATAAATTGTTGTAACCAATTTGTTAAATCCTATATACAAATTGACAGCTTTTTATATGATTCAAGCTTGAGGAAATTTGTCAAATTTATTTATTTTCTAATTTCAACGTATTATCTAAAACTCCAACTAAGCCTCAAGAGCATCTCGTTGTCCAAAGTTATCAGTCAAGGTAAGGTCACAAAACTACCTTTCGTCATGTTAACATGACAAAACAAAAAAAGATCAGCTACAGCCAGGTAGCAATAGAAAAAGAAAATATGATACTTTGTAAAAACAAAATGATAAAAATAAGATGAAGACACAGAAAGATCTGCAGAAATATAATGTCTTGCAATAATGCAAGAAACTCCCCTTATCAGAACTTGCAGAAACCTAATTAAAGAAAGAAAAAAAAGGGCATGTTCTAAACAAACTATATTTAAAATCTTGGACCACAGTTCAATATGTTCAGGACAAAAGCAGGTCAGCAAATAACCAAAAATACATCACTGCTACCAGGAAACACAGAGGTAGCAGCCCCATGCTGAGTGGTTACTTGGCAGGATTAAAAGGTAGATGGAATTAGGAAGTGCTAATTAATATTAACCTTGATCCAAAAACTCACGAGCCTGCTTGAAAACGGAAGCTACTGTATAACCATAGTTGCATCATTAAAGGAATATTCAAAGCAAAACAGGTTCGCTTGGAAGTCCTAACAGGTTACTAGAGCTATACCTGGAAGTAAGTCCACACCCACGCCTGCTGTTAGTCAGTAAGGAAATAATGATAACGAAGAAGGAAGATGAACAAATAAACTTCTTTAATTGCAAAATAAAAATTCCCAGAGTTCATGTGTCATTCTCTCTATAAATAAATAAAGAAATCCTGTTTGAAGATGAAAAAAACATACAACAAAGTTTTTTTTTTGTCTGACATTAGAAGTGAGTTTGGAAGAAATACATGTATGAAAGTATTCTGCTGATTTTTAAGTGATTTTTGTTTCCAGGCAGACCAGTAATATTCAAGCAGAAAGATTTGTCCTTCTTTGTTGATCAAAGACCAGCTACATTTCCCCACTTCTTTTCCTTTATAACGTATTCAGTTTAGTTATTCGGTTCAAATAAATAATAATATGAAAATACTACCATTTGCCAAGAGAAAGATTAATAAGAAACACAGAGTGAATATGGTACCTTAGATGATATTCTAAACGTTTCCAACTTAATTTATTAGATGTATAAGGAAAATCTGGGTCCAAATTATATTAAATGGGAGTTATTTCCTCAAAAGAAAACATTCAGAGGACAATGAAGACATTTTTGATTTAAGTATGTATTCCTTTATATGTTTATGGAATTGTAGTTCAACCTGGAAAGAACTGCACAGAAAAAAATCTGCAATTACAAGGTTTATTCAATTAAATGTATTTATACAGCACAGTCTCTCTCTGTCTCTCTCTCTCTGAAGAAAAAAAAAACATTGACCATTAGGTTAAATGCTTGTGATATATATATATATATATATATATATATATATATATATATATATATATATATATATATATATATATATATATATATATATATATATATATATATAGAAATATTGTCCTGATTATTCACAGCATTTTCTTATGCATGATAAAAGTACAAGAGCATTCTGTTCCTAGAATCCAATTATGTTAGTGACTCCCAGTATCTCAAAAAACAGACAGGGAGGTAAAGCCTTAAGTTACTGAGCTTCATAATTGTAAAAGTGATGTTTGAATATTATGAGTAAAACTTTCGTTATCTGTCCTGTTTCTAATGTTGGTTTAAAGGAGGCAAAATGTTCTGCACATTGTTTGTCAAGGAGTTATAGGGCCATGCAAAGTAAATGTTGTCTACCCCCTGGTAAGCTTTAGTCTCCATGTACATGTTTAAATGTATTATAAGCCGCTTGCATCATCAGGACCAGATTATTCTTGTTCTCTTGTGCCAGTGGTGAGTGTTTTTTCACATTACCTCAGTGTTTCTGATTACCTGACTCTGTTCTGCCTCTCAACCTCTAAGCCTGCCTGTTCCTATTCTGATCTGTTTGTCTGACCTGGTTCAGGACTCCAGCATGTTTTCTGGGGCTGCAGCATCTGGGACACCCTGGGCAGCACCCGCTGCATCTTGCTGGCAGCCAACCTGGTGGATCCTACCCTTTTCTATGGGCATGGACTGAACTCTAAACCAGGTCAGTGACTCGCACGTTCATATCATCCTCTGTCAGGTTATCATGGCCACTAACTGTGTTTCCTTTCTCCAAAGTTTCCTGCCTAGGGGCTGCTACTGAAGCTCCCCAGACTATTTCTGCAATCTGTTGTTTTAATAAAACATTTTTGAGTAATCCCACTGTCTGTCTTTCCTGAATATTAGGCCCTGTGTTCTGAGTTGTGACAAATTAATATTATAGTGTGTTTAAAATAAAATTTCTTTAAAAGAATGAAGGGGTCAGGTTTACTTTGTTATGACAATTGATAATAAATTAACTATTCTAAAAATAATTTTTTTACATTTTCTGAAATGTCAATATTTAGCATTTATTAAAATGTCCGTTTAAAATATTGCCAACTTAGTATTTTAAATGTTTATTTCTAAACAACAAAAGCATAGCATATTTTTTCCTGTAAACTTGAAGATACATTTCATTGCATGTTTCATATCGCCGCATATCTGTTCCACCTTTAAATCTGGAGCTCTCCTTACTTCTCTCTGTGCTCTGTTTAAAAAGATTCATGAACCTCTTTACTAATAAAATGATGCCAGAAACAATATTTTAAAATATATAGAAGCTCTACAGTCTGATTCTGTCTGTGCATTAAAAAACATGTTAATTTTAACTTGTAACTGTGAGTTATGGTCCTCTGAGAAGCCAAGATCTTTTTTTTTTTTTAAAGAACAACAAACTATGTTTTCTCAAGCTTCTTGAGATATAATACCAACTTTTTCAAACTTCAAATTTGTTGCCATTTTTAGCTGAAAAAGCTCTGTATGTCTAACGAACAGATTTTTCTGTGGCATTTCTAATTTTTTTAACCAACTCGTCTCCTAACTTTTACTTAAACATCGAAGTAGCTGCTGGTTAATATTCACTGAGTGTTGCTGTGCGTCTCTCCTCCAACCACATAGCTACTCCCTAAGCAGTGAAATATGCCGCAAATCAGATTCTGTCCAATTAGCAGAATCTAGGAACGAAAAAGGAAAACACTGTCAGTTCTGATGGCGTGAGACTGAATTTAACCAGCTGATTACATACTATTAAAAGTTTTCAATGCTGACATAAACTGAAATCAAATAATTTAAAGCAATTCAGAATTTCAGTCTATGGGTGGTATTTTTCTGCTAAATGGATTTCTTAAGCAAAATTTGTAAATGTTTCTTAAGTTCTGGTTATAAAACAAACAAGCATGGTGTGTTGTGGCCATTTGTGCTAAATTTTTGTAATTAGTTATTTCTACCAATTTAGTTTTTAGTTTAAACTAATTTAATTAGTTTACTTTGTAATTTATTTTTTGTATTTGGAATTGTTTAGAGTAGGTTGTTAATTGTTAGACCCTTCCATTGGGGGGTGGGGTGGTAAATGTCTGGTGTGGGTGGAAGCTCTCTTTTTTGAGAGTTTAAAACATAAAATTTTGTTTCTAAGTTCAAAGACATTTTTAGTAATTTTTCTTATTTGCTTTTACAATAAGTCATGCTGGATGTGAGTGCAAAACCAAAAACCACCTGTTACCACCCAAGGCCTTTGTTGGAAATTTTGTTGTTTGTTTTTTTTGGTCAGAATAGAAGGCTGCGACATGCTGGTTTTTCAAAAGAGGTATTTGGCAAGTTCTGACAACACAAAAGGGATCATAAAAATATACCCATTATTAGAAGCAAACTCTTACAGCAAATTTTACATATTTGACAAAAGCTTAATCTTGTTCAGCACTCATGCTACTGAGGCGAAGTAAACTATTAATGTTTATTACTCAAATAGAAGTATAAATCCTACAGTTTTAAAACACTTTTGCAGAAGTTGGAGTATCAACATAAACTTTTTACTCAAGTAAAAATGTAAAAATACCATTTCTAAAACTACTTAAAGTATAAAATTAAAAGTAATGCAGGAAAACTTTTAAGGATGAATGCTTCACTTCACTTATCTATTAAAGGAACGTTTTTCTACAGTTCTGGATGATAGCTTCCTTATACTTCATTTTTTTATTATTTTGTAACTAATGGCAGCAATGCCATATTTAACACTGCATCATCTTGAAAAATGATTTATCTCGGTAGGTGGTGAACAACAAGTTGGTGCAGTACCGAGTCCAACCACAAAGAAATAAACTGTCAGAATGGAACTAATGATTTTGATCGTTCCTTTAAATGAAACAAAACTACAAGATTAATTTTTAAAATATAAGGAGGAGGAAGTAGATATCATTGTAAAAAATGTAAGGAGTAAAAGTAAAACGTTTTCTAAAAAAGTAATTACTCTGGTAAAGTATAGATGGCCAAAATTTCTACTTAAATAAGGTAACAAAGTAAATGTACTTCAATTACTTGACACCTCTGGTTATTATATAAATAAACTTTATTAACATTTTCATGCCAAATATCAAGTTCTTGATAAAAATCAGCTTGGCATATCACCAATAAAATACATAATTCCTACCCAGAAACATGGTGCTAGCAGCATAATATTGTGGGGTCTAGTTACAGGGTTAGGGGATCAGCTTTGAACCAAAACATCAAGCATCTGCTGGAATATAAGAATGCAAATGCTGATTTTTTTTTTACTCCCGTTTTGATACCTATGCTTTTAGAATTACTTTAAACAGGATGAATTCCATCCAGAAATGCAATGTAATGGTTCAAGATGACTGTATCTATTAAATTATAGACAGATGCCTACTGTATGAAGGACATGTCTTTTGGAAAACAGATGTATTGCAACACTTATTTCCGTTAAGGCAAAGATCAAAAGAATGTCTACAGCAGAAGGAAATTATGTTCTTGGAAAGTCCAACTGAAGAGTGGAAAAAATACCTGGAAATAAATGTGCACCAACACCCACTGTAAACCGTAAAGGCAATAACAATAAAGGAGGAAACTCAAATGGAATAAACTGCTTTTGTTTTGGAAAATAAAAATGTTTCCTTTCTCCTGAATCATGACTCATGTTGCCGTCAGTTTTGTTGTTACAGATATTGCTTACACATGTATTGCATTACATGTCAGTACCTGCCACAGAGATAATGTGGTTGCATCTTTATAAAAATAAAAGATAGTCATAGTTGAACTATGCTTACTTAGCAATACACAACCTTATTTTTTTGTTTGTTGTTAGTGCTGATTTGACCAGAAGTAAGTTTTAAAATATGGTGTTAAAGGGATAGTTCGGTATTTTTGACATGAATCTCTATGGCATCCCCATCACCAGCGGCATGCAATCACACTGACTTACCCCTGGCAGCGTCCTGTGAGCAGAGTTATCGTCCAGGTTTGGTCAAGCCAAAAGTAGTCCGGCAGGTTTTTAGGAACAGCGAAATAAAACTTTTCTCTTCCCAAAACATTATGTGTTCAAAAGAGCGATATTTTTGCATCCCAAAAAGATTGTAGTGGAAAAAGTCACACGTTGTTATCAATTGGTCCTATTTTCTCTCTGTTCGTATCAGTGCGCGCCGTCATTCTGACAGCGAGCCCAACAACAGCCATGTCTCCCTCCGCGGCGGAAGGAGACACATACATACATAGAAATAGCTTTAAAGAATAAATGTACCACAATAAGATCTCCAAAACTACTACTCAGAGTATTGTTTGTATGTTTGACCGATGATCCAGTTATTAAATTGTTGACTTTCTCCTTGTTCTGTGCTTTATTAGTATGTTCATTGAATTCATGAGGAAGCTTTATTTACAATGAGTGGAAGGGATCTAAACTAAATTGTTAAACAAAGTAGCACAATCCTTATAACAAAAGAAACAGTTGGATCCTTTTAAATAGTTTACTTTTAAGCAGCAAATGTAGACCAAATATAAATCACATTGTTTTGTACAAAGGTTTATAAAAATGTATTTATGTATTGATGCCTGAATTCATACAGGATATTTTCATCCCCCATTAAACCAGATATTTACGTTTACTTAGATGCATCTAAAATACATGTATCCGTTCAAGTACAGAACTGCACTGTTAAAAAATAATCAAATAGTTATTCAAAAACGCTGTGGACTAAAGTCAGTTTCTTTTAAATAAAGATGCTTTACGGCTCAACTCGAACCAGTTCATGCGGAGAGAGATCCGCAGGAAACAAAATCCACAGGAACGGGTAAAAGTTACACACTTTCATTCATGTAAGTCACTGATTTTGAGTAATGGCTACATGACTGTAGTCCCTCTCTGTTGGGAAGTAACAGAGTTATGAATATACAGATCATTATCACTGTATATTTTGCTTCACAGGAAATGAAAGTAGAGCTCTTTGTTTCTGAGATACAACACCTGAAACGAAGATAAGAGGTTCTTTGGCAATCTGCAATGCTCTCATATAGTTTTAAATACCAACAAGCATGTGGATAGATATTGATCAGAAATAGATCAGGAACAAGAGCTCAATACAAACTAATTTATAAAAGAAAATAAAATAAAAAAAATTAGTAAAGCAGATATTTATATTAATTTTTTAATGATGCTGCACATTTCTAAACAGGTGAACATCATTGCTATGATGTCTACAAAGACAATACATTTCCAGAAAGCTGAGAAAACCGTATACAATATTTTGCTGTTGTCTGAAAGAGCTAAAGCATTACACTAATAATATATAATTAGCAAAATTATAAGACTGACATGTAATCCAAGACCTACCTTTCATTTCAAGCAGGAAATCAGCATTTGTAATTTGTGTTTTTTATTCTGTAAATTGATGGGAATTTCAGCAGTCAAAGCAGAAGAAATTGTAACTCAGATATATTGACTACAAAGCTTGTTTAATCATCTTTATCTTTCTGGGTAAATGCAGATATCACATGAAAGATGTCCTACAAAAGGAATAGGGACCTACAGTTACAGTAGCACGTAGCTCCAGTATATTCAGATAGAAACCACCGGGTTGAAACCTTTGTGTAGTGATGGACTTAAAGCTGACATGTAAAGAGTAACAGTGGGCTGTCTCCATCTTTATGAGCACTAACAAAAAAGGCTTAAATCTGAGGCAACCAGAAGTTTGTGGTTGCCATGACCCAGATGATTGAGAATCTACATAGGCATCACTAGGAGAACTGATAAATGCAATGTTGCTTTTCACAGGTCTGCCTAAAAAGTCGATCAGGAGGCTGCAGCTCCTGCCCACGTCCTCGCCGCAACTCAGAAAGTAGATCACATCAGCACCCTGGTTCTAAAGTCTTTATGCTGCCTCCTCTTTTCTCATAGGATAGATTTTTTAAATACTTATACCAGCCCATAAATAACAAAATCACACAGCAACAAACTATATTACAGACTTTCTGTCATTGGATACACTGCCCAGACTTTTCAGGTCTTTTGATTCAAATCTACTTTGCATTCCCATAGCCAAACCGCCATCCCCCCCCATAAAAACAAATAAATAAATAGTAAAGCAGATAAAACACACTTGTTCACAAAGGCCTTTGACTGCTATTTAAACACTAGTTCAGTTTGTAGTGCAATTTATTTTATCATTAATCATTTTATCAGTATTTTTTTAGGATAATCTTTTCATTCTAATCATATTTTTTTTAGTTCTTTAATCACAACTATGCCACTTCAGTGTGATTTTACTAATATTTTCCATTTTCTTTTTTATATTCAGCATTTCAATTGTTTCGCTACTGAAAGGAGCTTTATAAATAAACTTGACTTGTCTTTCAGCCCATGCAGATGCAAGAATGGATAGTTCTGACTCATGCAAAATTTTCTTTATATTTCAGATTTTCTTCCCCATTTGTGTGTTTGGGCTTCTTTCCTAAAATGTAACGATGGGCAATGCCTCCATATACGCAATTATGATTATTTAAATGAACCTATCATAATTCTGCAAAGCATGATATCTTATTTTTCACAAGGGATTTAAAACAACTTAAATAAAGTAATGATATTAAAAAGAAAAAATTAAGACTTTATGCAGTATAGAAAAACGTGTTTTAACTGTAAATATGTTCATTCAAGTAATCATATTTGTATTATCAAAATTAATTTGATGGTTGTCCAATGACGTTGTAGAATAAAGTCCGTTTTCTTTTTGAATGAAGGTGCTGTACGGCTCAATTTCATCCAAGTCCTACAGAACAAGACAAGAAAATGTATGTTGAAATATTTTGTCATATTGATCATTAAAATGTGTGCCTTAGCTATTATGTAAATTACCTCATTTGGATTATGGCTGCTTGATTCTAGTTGCTCTCTGCTGGGAAATAAAGTATTTTAGTTCCCATAAATTTATACAAAACATTATCAATGCATGCTTTATAAGAAAGGAAATAAAGCAGAGTCCCTTCTCCCCTTTGTAGAATATTCAGCATTAATAAAATCTGAGGCATTGTAGCGGTACTCCCATTTAGTTATTATTGTGGGTAACAAAACATCATCAAAACTTTTTATAAATATTTTTAAGTAAAAAAAAAAATATATATATATATTGGTAATGAACAAGTTTCTCACCGATGGCAACATCTTCTGTGGACAAATCCCACAATAATGGAAATTAAGATAATAATAATGAGAACGGTAGCAGTCAAAGCAGATGGAAGTGTCATTTCTGAAAAATGGCCCTCATCTTCATCTTCTCCATTATCTTTAGCATTTTCTAAAATAAAAGAACAAAACATTTTTTGGAGAAACTTCCTCAAAACTAATTTTATGCAGCAAATATGAAAAAAAAACTCACCATTTACTGTGATGTTGAGGGAAAGAATATATGTTCCATCGAGTCTTGAACACTCACAGGTGAAGTTCCCATTATCAGCTGCTGTTAAACTGGTCAGATGCAGAAACACAGTGTCATTCCATGTTTTAAGAGTGAACCTAGAGTCACACTCATGAACAAAGTCGCCTTCTTCCCTGTACAGCAGATTGCACTCCTCTCCGCTGTCCCTCGCCGTTCTGATCCTACACACTATCAGTGTGATTACATTGGATGTTTCGTTGGTGCAAATTGGAATTAAATCTCGTTGTTTGCTAGCTGTTGCTGTAGATAATAAATTATAATCAGTATCAATGTGTGAAAGTTATACATTGTAATCAATTACACTTTACTAACAGAAAGTGAAACTAGGTTCAAAATATAAATCAAAACTTTGAGAAAAATGTATCTCTTTACATTACCTTTACCATCCAGAAAAAAAACTAAACATGGCAGAAGAAGTAAAAGCCTGATTCTCAGTGCATCCATCTGACCCGTTTTCCTGGGACGGTTTGATGTGCTGCTCTAAAGAGAGGTCGCCTGAACTATCCCCTGATCTTTAGGGCTAACTAAACCACCCATTTTCATCTCTCAACATGGTAGAGGATGTGACACCTTTCTGTAAAAGGAAACGTGTGAACGCATTGAGACAAAAGAAATAAAAATGTGGAAGTATCTATGAATATATAACTGTTCTAGTTTAATTTTCCTAGTTTACATTAAATCAAAAAGAACCTATATTTATTTATGTAAATTAATAAGAAATCTTTTTCTGTACATTTGCCGCTTAATCACACCCCAGAGTTGAGTTCCTGAGGACTTCCTGTCTTGTTTTCTGCAACACTAGTGGGTTAGTAGGACTGAAGATGTAAATGTCAGGCTCGCTTTGTGGTCTTCAGATATTAAGCCTGAATGCAAGCTGGTAAGCAACACACTGCAGGATGATCATGTATCTTACTTCTTCTGAAAATGTCACTTTAACACACCACTGTTTACAACCGGATGAAAGAAAATGCTACCAAATCGCATTAGAGGCTGCAAAGGACTCTAGTCTCTTTCAAGATACATGGGTGAAAATCTAGCTGTGGAATTATTGGTAAATATGAATAAAACAGTAGGCTACCTGTACAATAAAAGATTTGGTGCAGTATATTACCCTTTTATTTGTTTAATTTACAGTTTTAATTATAGCTTTATTAAATTAAAATCCTAGATTAGAAAAGCTGAGAAAGCCAATCAGTGTATGGAATAAGAAGGTGAGGTGCTCATAGTTTGACAAGCCAAACTTTCAACTTTGGAGTGATCCACCAGCAAAAAAGGAAGTTTTATTTTTGTTTGTAGAGGTTAAATTCCGAAGCATTCTTTTTCCCAACTTATATTAACATGTTTACATTTTTGACGGATTACTGGATTTTTTTGCTCCTTGATTGTCCTCAAATATTGTAAATGGCATATACTTACATTCTTTGCTCATTGCATCCAATTGCATCATTGTACAAAATACAAACTTTGTTGTGTTGTTGCTGCTAATGCCATATATTCTGCTTTGCCTGTAGACAGAGCCACTGTTTGTTGTTTCTTTGACTTCCATGAGATAACAGGTCCATTTTTATTAAGGCTAAAACAATAACCTGTAATTCGTCTCCTGTCACTCTGATCAGTCGTTCAGTCTGTATCGCTGTATACTATGAGCCAGAGATGGGGACTCGAGTTTGTGACTCGTACTCGAGTCGCACTTAAGTCGCATATTTAATGACTTCAGACTCGACTTAGACTTGCATTTAAAGGACTTCAGACTCGACTGAGACTCGTGATTTCCGACTTGTGAACAATATTTTATTCCAGTGTAAAAACAATTATTCAAGTGTTTTTTGTTTTACTAACTTGACTGATCGCCGCTCGCCTTACTCGCACACAGAAGAAAACTCAAAAACCCAAACCGTGAAGCACTCAAGTTCAAGTGTTTTATTTATACAAAAAGCCACAGCAAAAGTGGCATAATAAAACAGTCCTTTTCTTCTCCTGATAAAACCTAAAATTCAAGAGTTTTCCTTAAAAATCAGAGGCTGGAAGTTGGGCTCCGCTTGTTCTGCTGCTTCTGGTGCGCGAGTGATCAGCCTGCAGCACCCACTGGCTGATCCACAGACTCTGCGGCGCTCCAGCACTGTTCCACTCCCTGGCGTGCCAAACCCCTTTCCAGACCGATCCAGCTAAAAAGAGAAGCAAGGAGAACGCCAGCATCCACACGCCAAAACCCTGTCGGAAGATATATTCCTGTTTATGCTTTAAGCGAGGGGGAGCGCTACTTACAGGCGAGGTTCCTCCTCTGCCCTAATACTCCTTACTGCGCCATCAGTGCGCACGGATCCCGCCTGCATCTTCCCCAGCAGCGCGTCCGTCTCCATCACCTGCAGATTCCGTTCTCCTTCTCCTTTCCTTCAGACTCCTTTTATGTCGGCTTTAATCAGCCCTTGCTCACACCTGAGCGCAGCATTACGCAGCGCAATTAATGCACTCCGCCTCCTCAGACAACTACTTCAGTCCAGTGCGCATGGATTGTCACAAGGGAAAAACAAACCAAAACAACCCAACATGCAGGAAAAATTCAAAAGTCTAAAATAAAGGAAAACAATCATAAAAAAAAGAAACATCAAAACATGCAAAGCTTAAGAAGAAAATACAAAGAATAACAAATCATATCTTCCTCTCCAAACATGCAAAGCATAAAACTAACATTAAAATGAAAGAAAACCATAAATCATATTTTTCCCTGTGCAACACACTGACGTCACTGACGCGACATCACGTGGACGGCAGGATTGTGATTGTTTTTTTTTCCACAGTCCTCATTTTCAATAAAAGAGCAGACATTTACTGCTAAAACTAGAAAAAGTTGTAACCACAAATGTCAGGAAATACTGTAAGAAAATGTTAAATTTATCTGGAAAAAATTTTTGCGTGTGCTTTTTTTAATTGTATTTTTCATTTAGCAGTTCAAGATAATGATAATTCCATAGATATAATAGCGACCTTTAAGCTATACCGTCTCCGTGATAGAGATGAAAACACAAGGAGAAACAAGCAAGCACAAAAATTATTGCACTTTTTAAAATTAATCAAGTGATTAGAATTTTTTGTGCGATTAATTGATTATTGCGACTTGAGACTTGACTTGGACTTGAGCTCTCAAGACTTGAGACTTGACTTGGACTTGAGCTCTCAAGACTTGAGACTTGACTTGGACTTGCAAAAAATGACTTGTGAACATGTCTGCTATGAGCTGAAGTTTCTCCTCGCTCCTCTTAAAGTATACTGTAAGCTCTTATCTATTGTCCCTTACAAGTATCTCAACACTTGTTTTGCTGTTATCAAGTTACACTTCCTTGGTTGTGACAAGCATTGTGAGAGTTTACTTACAACCCAACTGATATCAGGTCTTCTGCACGTCATGAGATATATTAAGCTTCCTACAAGCTCACGATACAATCTTGGGTCTACTAGTTCACTTTAAATTTCAAAGTTTAACTTCTGTTCACATGGAGTGCATCTAGTACCACATTCAGACAAACCATATTTCTCCAGTGCTTTAGTTATGTGCCTCTTTTGGTTAACTTTTATTTCTCCATCTGTCTGTGTAAAATCAATGCCTCACAGGCAAGTCACAATGCAAGTCACAGAGGTGTGACCAACCAACCCCGACTGTGTGAGGACAGACAAAACCACATGAAGCCTCCTGGTGTGCAAATCGAAGAGCACTTCTCAGGCTCAGATTAAGTTAGGGCCTCTTTAAAATTTTGTGGTGTATTACACAGTAAATGACAGCAATAATCAACATTGTCAAAATAGCTGTGGCTAATTCATCACTCTCTGTTTTACAGTCAAAGTCCTTTAAATACAGTGGCACTTTTTTCCTCTCTTTTGGAGCATTGTAGACCTCATTTTGCCTGATATTTGTGTTCCTCACACTTGAAGGTTCAACATGCATCTCTTTTGTTTCTTTTATTCTATTTATGCTATTCTATTTTTAATTCCGGCTTAACAGGAACAGTTTTTCTGCAATACTCATCCTCAAACCCCTCTGGATCAGTCTGAGTTTGGCAATCAGGTTTAGTTGGGAATCTGACTAACCTGTGTTTACAAACCCTTTCTGTAACTTGATAATAAATCAGATATGATGGGTAGTTTTTATCATAACCCACAAAGATTCCTTTATCACACCTTGGGTCTAACTTTTTTCTTATTTTGTTTGTATGAGTAGCACACTGATCCAAACTCCTTCATTTTAGACAGATCAGGTTTCTTTCCTGTCAATGCCCCAAAAGATTATTAAAATACCTGTTGCGTATAACTGCAGAGGTCAACGTACACATTGCCATGTCAACCAGTGTTCTCCAGCTTTTTTCAGCTGTCCCATTTTGATTGGGAGAATAAGGTGCAAATGTCCCATGTCGAATGGCATTTTTTACTCAATTAAGACTGATAGTTTCTTGACATTGACTCAGTGCCATTATGATCTAATGCACTTTACTTTTCCATAGGGGTTACATCTGCAATAAACCTTTAGGTAGCTCTGACTGTGTCACTTTTAGCTTTTAAAAAATAGACGAATACTGCACTTGAAAAATCATCAGTAAATGCAAGTGAATATATAAATCCTTCTTTTGCAGCAGGCTCAATAGGGCCAGCTAGCTTTTGCATTTGCTCGCCTACTTCTACTCTGGGTAAATTTTCCTTTAATATATGTTTCACAGTTTCATTTTATCAACCTTGCCTTTAATTTTTATACCTTTTATAACTTTCACAATATAATACATCTTGAAAATTACAATGACCTAAAATCCTGTGCCTCTCTTGAATGTCATAACAACCCAAAACTTTATCATCCTCTTTGTCAGCAAAATGATTTTCATCTATAACAGCAAGGAAATAAAGTCTATTGTACATGCTGATGTCAAACCTAGGGCCATCCTTGCAGATGAGTTGATTGTGTCCTTGTTGAAAGTTGACAGAGGCTCCCCTTGCTATCGGTGCTTTAAAAGAAAAGATGCTCTAGGGGTAGGTGGGGATGTACGGCGCCCTTGTTATTGCCACTTTCACGCTCCGTCCCTTGGTGTCTCGCAGCCACACCTCTGCATCGCCTCTCTTTTGTGCCACACCACTAGTCCTTGTCCAATCAGCAAGCTGCATGAAGTGTTCCTCCGGTCCAAAGGCATCATCAAACTTTTTAAACTTGTTCAGATCATTAATTATACGAGAAGTTTCACCGGTGTCCACCATCAGTCCTCTTTGTTTCAAGCCGCTGATCTGGCTCTCGCTTATCTTGAAAACAAATGAGTCGTAATCCCCTTCAATAGCCTGTTTCACAGTTTCTTTCTTCTTTCTTTGACAATTACTCTCTTTGTTATTGGAATTTTTACAGAAACTGCACCATTGTCTTTGTCCTTTATAGTTCGTCGGACATTGTCGCACTTTGTGTCCCTTCAGGTCACAGCTGTAACACATAAACTCTGGGTTTGCTTTTTGTCTCGG